TCTTTCATTTGGGGCTTGGTTTTTGGTCTCCCCATCTTGGCTGCCTATTTGAGTTTGTTTCTATGTATTACATAAGCCTGCTAGGACTCTCAGTCTTTTTGGAGGGTCTCTAGTACAGGCCAATGTGAGGTGCAGTTTGTGACTGGCCCTGAGTACTCTGGAGCTATCAATAACCTTTGGCTTGAGGTGTCTTCTGCTGGGGCTGGGTGCATTTGGACAGGACCAAGATGCACACCAAAGTCTGCTTTTCTAAGGCCTGGGTCCAGAAGCAGATCAGGCAAAGACTCAAAGCACTCTGAGGTCTACCTCTGCCTGCAGGCTGATTGATCTGATTCTCTTAAAAGCCTCAGGCTGTAGAAACTCCTCTGGGTAGGACAAAAGGTTTTTCAGTAGGGTGGGGCAATTCCTACCTGCCCCCCAGGCAAAAGCAGCAAATTGTCTGCCTGTGAAAGATGTCCTCTGCAGTTTGGGGAATGACTGGGCACAGGAACCCAGACGGGTGCCTTCTGATCTCAATCTCCAGAGCCCGCAACCCTGAATTCTCCTCACACAGCTCCAGTCCACTCTGCTGGAGCCCAATGCTGCACATGAAACTTTGTGCATTAGCTCTGTAAGAGGGTGCCTGCATTTCCAGCCATCTCTCCCTGGCAGACAGAAACCTAGCTGCTTTTCACAGCCAGATGTTACGTAGGCACCTTTCTCAGTTCTGGTGCTCTGGGCTGGTAAGTCCAGCCTGGGGTTTAGGCCCCTGAGTCCTCAGTGGGGACCCCCAACAGTNCATGAAACTTTGTGCATTAGCTCTGTAAGAGGGTGCCTGCATTTCCAGCCATCTCTCCCTGGCAGACAGAAACCTAGCTGCTTTTCACAGCCAGATGTTACGTAGGCACCTTTCTCAGTTCTGGTGCTCTGGGCTGGTAAGTCCAGCCTGGGGTTTAGGCCCCTGAGTCCTCAGTGGGGACCCCCAACAGTTGAGATCTCCCTCCAGACCTTCAGCTGCTGCCTGTGGGAGCCCAGCCAGCCCTCTTGCCTCTGCACTTCCTATCAGTCTCTATGTGGTCTCCATTTTTCCTCCTTGGTTATGAGGGTGCTCTCCAGCTCATCTTCAGTTTGATTATTCGGGATGGTTTTCCTATATTTTAGTTGTAATTCCAGTTTGGTCCTGGGAGAGTGTCAGTGTAGCTTCTACTCAGTCTGCTGCCATCTTTCAAAAGCTGTGATCTTAAGGTAATCAAGCAAACATTCCAAAACCATGTCTTTTGTAATATCTTTAAATGCACATATATTTTAGGGCTTCTTCTTGGCAAAGAGGTTTGCTAAAATTAATAATACCAATCAGGGATTGGCAGAAAATGCTCTTTAGGCTTAAAAGAACACAGCCATATTTCTCAATCATCCACCAGAAAGCAGAAGCTCTGGCAGCAAGTCTTTGGCTGGAGTCAGACTGGCTACATCATAGTCTCTGTGCCCAGGAGCTGTGGATGTCATTCAGTGTGGACTAACTAGCTCATTAAGCTTAGAGATGTCTAATTCACCTCTAATACAGAAGTGAATTCTTAACTCCAGTTACTTGAACAGAGGTATTCAATTGTAACCAATTAGGACCCATATAGAAAAATATTATATTGCCCAAATTTGCTTGGTGATGAAAATCAGTTGAGGTCAGGGCCAGCTTCATGAACTTGTGACCTGTGCAGGTGCACAGGGTCCTGCATCTGAAGGGTCCCACATTTGGAGTTCAATACTCTGCATTTCTGTTTTATAACTCAAGTCCAATGAGACATGGGGCATACATAGGCTAGGAACTTGGAAACTTGAATCACTGTAATCTCACTTCTCAGTATCCCAAAGGGATGGATTCTTGACCTCCCACTCCCCTGTCCCCTGGTGCCTTGGCCAGCCCTGCCTCTCCCTTCTCACACTTGCCCAATGACCACTTCCACCCCTCAGCCCATGGCACTGGCATACTCCCCCTCCTCATTTTCAATAGCAACCACTGTCATCTTCCTCCTGCAGAGTCACAGGAAAGGTTGAGATTGGGTGCACACACCCTATGCCATCTTGGGAGGGGGCATGGCCCCATGGCATCTTGGGACCAAAAATATGTCACAGAACATTTGGAGGGTACATGGTGGGGGTCTCTTGCCCACCTCCATTGTAGGCACTGAGCACATCCTGGCATGGAAGTTGCAATCTCTTGGGAATCCCCCCTCTGCAGTTGATTGCTGTAGTGGGCCAGTGGGAAGGAAAGATTTACATACCCTTACCACTGCTGGGGCATGGGGCATCAGTCAAGTGGGAGGAGGGTATGGGGTAGGTGTGTTTGCATGCTAAATTTCAGGGTGCAGCCCCTGGGAACCTGTGAGTATCTGCCTTCCCAGTAAATATCCCTCATGCCTAAGGGAGCACGACATTAAAAAGTAAATTAAAAACACTGTTTGCCAGAAACCACAGAAGGGAAAATTTTGTATTTTAGTGTCTTCAGTGCCATTTTTCCTACCTTTCGAATGT